TATAAAATAAAGAAATATATAACAATTATTTATGATAAATATGTTTTTTGACACACTTTAAAAAACAAAAATGGTATATGTTCTAAGAATTTTTCGATATAATAAACAATTTTTAAATGTTCCCTTTTTGTTATATTTAACAGTAAAAGTTAAACCAAATATATATATTATAAGCTAAGATATATTTAATTAAATTGAATATCTGCAAATTCTAGACCAAAATAAGCCTCGAAGCTAAGCAAAGCTTAACTGATTTGGAGAGCTTCAACAGCCACAGTCACAATACCAACTCATACGTATGCATATATCAAATAGATTTGATTAGATGGCCCAAATCGTAGTGCATATTGAATGAATGACAATAAAAGTTGTACGAAATTGAGTTGAAATTGATTTGAAGAACACTTACGTCAAATACCCTTTATGCGCAATATAACAAAAGCATAATAAAACGCTACACTCGGTGTGTGCGTGGCCCCCTAGAGAAATATGCTAATGAATGCCACTGCTATCCGCAGCCCCCCCCCTGGACAAGCGTAGCAGCTCAACCCCTGGCAACGACAATGCGAGGCAAAACGGTCGCAAAAACAAAACGCAAAAACGAAACAAAATAAGTGAGACCCAAGGGGTCGAAACTAGACGCAGCTAGAGTATTAGAGTACTATAGTATTGGTTGCCAACTTATCATGGTAAATAGTATACATATATATGTATATATATATATATGTTTGTGTGTGTGTGTGTGTGTATTTGTGTTTGAACTCACCTCGCTGTCATTGCTGTGCAGGATGAGCTTGAAGCCGGGCAGAAGATTTGGCTCCTTGTTGACATCATCCAATGCCAGTCTTGCGGCCGGCATGCACGCCTGCCCACCCTGCCATCCTCCTTTGCCGGCAATTGGAAATATGCCGCCAATATGCAGCTCATCCGGCCTGCCCGCCTCGCTGCCCTCCAGCTGCGGCGTTCCGATCAAACAAAGCAAAAATATCCAAAACGTAACAGCACCATCACTTGTCATATCCTGCAAAAGTCAAACAACGAATTCGTTCAATGTCCACAATCTGATTACAAATCACAAATTCACAAATACAAAATCAAACACAATGGACAATGGAACGCGAAAAATACCTAAAATGCGCAAAACTGAGCAAATGGGCAAACTCGCTAACGGAAAATGTCGAAATATAGAAATGTGGAAATGTTGATATATAGAAATGTGGAAATGGGAAACCGAAACGTGCCTCAAGCGACATTTTATGTGTCCAGCACTTTTGTTTTGTTTTTGGTTCTTTTTTCTCGATTTTTTTATGACTCGCTTCGGTTATGTTTACAGCTAACGCAAGCAATTTCTCGTTTTTGGCACACACACACACATACACCCGCACACGCACTCACACACCCTGTTTCTAAGGTGTGGGCATCTCATATTTTTCGACTATTTCATATTTTTCGTTTTGCGCTTAACAGATTTCTTGTCAATTTTAGGGGTGCGCATCACGCGTCCCGGTCAGAGTTTAAGAGTGTTATTTCAATTTGTTTTT